TGCCCCAAGAGAGGTGGAACTCCAGTTGGCGGGGTAGGTTCAGGACAAGGACCGACTCGACCTTCAGTATCACAGATTGGTGTTCAGCTTAGAGAGTCATAGGAATGGGAGACTTAGGGTCGTATAGTTAGTCCGGTTGTTTCTCCTATTGAGTCACCAGAGGGACCCCCTGTAGTCAAAGGTATGTAATTGCATTTATTTTTAGCATTTTATTGGTGTTTTTTTTGGTAAGTGTTCTGTCTAAAGGGAAATGGGGATAGTGATGGTAATGGCAATAATATTGGAATAGGAATGAGGAGAAATAATAATGTTGAACTTAAGACATGAAGTTTTCTTGTTTAGGCATGTACATCACCTTAGAAAGAATGGTTTAAGTAGTTGGTTAAGTATTAATGATTGATTGCATAGTTGGTGGTTTTGAGGAGACTGTTGGGTGTTGAGCATTCTGAGATTGTGCCCATTTTATTTTGAGGATTTTTCAAATTGGCATTACCATATGGAGGTTCTTACCTAGTGGTAAATGGTGGTTGTTGTGGGGGGAGTATCGAAAAGAATGGTTATTTCTTGTTTTGATGATGGTACCTTAAGGATGTTTCAAAAAGAATCCTTTAGTTGTGGGTTGATGGTCCAGTGGGATGATAGAATAGGACTGTGGTTGGAATTAGTGGTAGTAGAGGTGTTATTGTGTTATAGTGCGATGCTTCATGCTAATGAGCAGAGTGGTTTAAGGTATTATCCAAATGCGGTTTGGAAATTACGAGTTGTCTGTTGCCTGTTGTCAGGTAGGTGATGGATTGTGTGCCGGTTGAGGTGATTGTGAACGGTGTGGTAATTAGAGTCAGTGAGGACGACATTACTATGTAGGCATCTTTTTCTTTTGAAGAGTCAGTGGGTTGTTGTGACTGAGGTCACGAGTTTTGTGTGCATTGTGATCGAGACAGTGTCATTTTCAAAGGGCAGAGGTGGAATGGGTGATCATGTGTCATTGTATTGCATAGAGTTTTTCATTGGGAGATTATTGGGAAGGATGGGACGCAGTGTCCAACGTGTAATGATAGTTCCTAGCATTAATATGTTGAGGGTGTTGGTGCTTTTATCTGATTGGTTTTGATTAGCAGGGCTACCGCAGTGTTTTATATGCAGGTAGTTGTGTTGATAAAGTGTGACGGTCTGTTTGTGACGAGGTCGCCTAGATTAGTGTTCGTAGTTCTATATGTGTTTCCAGTTGGTTTTTCTCCTTGTATGTAAGAAGTTCTTTTTGTCTCAGGTGAGATTGGGTGTCCATGGTTGGACAATTGAAGAATAGCGTGTGACAGGTGGTCGGGTACACTCAGGCGTAAGTCGTTAGTCTCTTATGAGAGCGGGGCTTGTTACCCTTTCAGTTTGTTCTAGTCCTGGTAAGGACGTCGTTTGTTGTGAGTCTTATCTCTGTCTAGGAGTTGTGCGCGTCCATGGGCGGACGGATTTGTGAGTGGGTATTACGTTGTTAGAGTTCATCGATTGAGGTTCTGATTGAAGGGGTCGACTCACTTCCATGAAGGGAGGAATAGTCTTTAGTTTTTGTAGTGTTTATTTTGAGAATGGTTTTGACTGGTAGGATGTAAGGCACGGGTTGCCGAATAAGGATTGTGTTACTAATGTTTGGTACTAGGGGATGTGTCATGAACGGTAGTTTGAGGATGATTAGGTGATGTGATGTGAGTTGTATATCCGAATGCTTTTATTGATGTTTGAATTGAGCAGTGCCTTGAGGACAAGTGTTAGTATTGTTTGAGTGCCAAGTAGCTAGAAAGGGAGAATATGTGATTTCACTGAGGAATAATAGGAGTGATTGACTTTAGTTTTGAGGTTTCAGGCATGAGATGGGTGCATTGTGTGTTCTGAAGAGGTAAGAATTGAATCGAATGATGCTGTGAAGTTGATTATCTGGTGTGGGTGTTATGAGGAAATTAGAGATCTTTTGTATGGGTTAATGGTTGTGATGTTTAGTGTCGTGTTGTTTTTAACTTGTTATGATTGTGTGATTAAGGCATGATTGAGATTCTTAGAGCTGGTATGTGATTGCTTAGTTGTTGAGGTTACGTATAGCGATGGATGGATAGTGAGTGGATCTCATTGTTGTTTTGTGGACTATGTAAGATTGTATTTGAGGTGTGGACCTGAGGATATGAATGACGTCTGTGTTGAGATCGGATCGATGATGAGAATGGCTTGACCAACCATTTCTTCTGAATCAGTCCCTCTTTAGCACGATGTCGGGTCAAAGGTCCATGATTGTTTTGATTGCTAGAGATAGTAAGAGCAGGTTATTACAGGATGTGTGGACGTGATAGTGTGAATTTAGGTAATTTGTCTTGGGTGACGAGGTGTGTTGGATGGGACTTAGTACCCGATCTGTTTGATTATTAAAGATTTTGTTTCGAGAATTTGTGTCTTGGGTACAGGATAGTACGCTTATTGATTTGGTGACAATTGTTTATGCAGTTTTTGGGAGAATTATTGTTTGGTCATTTTGAGGTTGATAAGCATAGCGATCGTTGTATAGATTGATTAGTAGTCATTGGTATGGTTATATGATGATGTAGTTCTATGTTGGATAGCGAGTGCTTAGTTGATAGAGATGTATAGAATTGGGATTAGGTGTGTTCTTTGAACAATGAGTTGTGGTTTGATGTTGTCTTAATTGGTGGTTTGGTGACCGTTTTTCTTTTGGGTTTTTGAGCCTTTTGTGGCAGTGTAGAGTGGGCCAATGTCCGTTGTGAGTCAGGTGTAAAGTCCAATTGGTCTTGTGTTATGATGAAGGCAGAGATAGGTACCCGCATGAGGTTTTGGTGGCAGTGGTGTGTGATTGCCTAATGACGTCCGGTGTCAAAGGTAGTAACGTTGGTGAGTTCATGGTTTTGGGGTTTTGTGAGGTGTTCTCGGAAAGAGGTGTGTGGCTGTAGGCCTTTTTCATAAGGAGGGTAGATTTCGAGGACGAAATCTTTTTAAAGAGGGTAGATTGTAATATTTTCATTTTTCATCATTTTCTATTTTTCTGGAATTTTTGTTGTTATAAGGGCATTTTCGTCTTTTATCGTTTTACGTGCCGGGCACTGCGGAGCGTGCCGGTTGTGTCCGAGAGTTGTTTGGAGCATTTCATTGAGTTTAGGACTCTTTGAAATGCAAAGGTGATCATTTTTGCATTTTTTCATTTTTTAGGCCGAACAGTCCCGTGTGGAACCAGCTACTGAAATTGTTGCATGCGGGAATTTTAATTGGGTTCATTTACATCATATTTATTTTATTTAATGTGTTTTATATGGTTGTAATTTAATAGGTGTATGTATATACGTATATATATGTATGTGTGTGGTGTAAAAAGAAAATAAAAATAAAGAGAAAAGAAATTATTTTTCTTTGGTGGGGCCCACTAGCACATTAAGTGGTCTAGAGACCACTTGGTCTCTCAATTCTCACTCTCACTCCCGAAGCTCTCTACCAGTCTTTTTTTATTTTTTTCTTTTTTTTACTTCCAAACTTTAATCCTAGATTTCTTCTTCAATACTTGGAGTTTTTAGAAGTTGTTTGCGGCAAATCGAATCCCACGACGAGGCCTTCAAATCCATACCAGCAATTTCAGTTTTGGTGCTCCCTAGTACTTTCGAAATTTGAGATCCATTTGAGGGTTTTGCATTAAGTTAAGGTAGGGGTCTCTAATCTATATATTCTCGTGCCTTAGTGAGTATAATTCTTGTTATTTGTTACTTATTATGCTAGATTGAGTTAATTTTGTTTTAAAGTGACTAAACCTTGAAATTTGAGTATGTGGATATGTGTTAAATTTATGTTATGTGTGAAAAGCATGTTCTATGTGTTATTTTCCCTAGCTGATAATGTTGTTAACTTGCTAAAATTGTTGTATGAAAGCATGTTATGTATTCTTAAAATTCTTGGGAGGTGTAATGTGAGATTAAATTTTTAATTTGTTGTAGAGTGATGAATTACATGGCATGAAGCATTCATGCATAGCATTGGGAAGAAAAATGGAACAAATTACTTTGAAATGACAAAAGGGAAATTTTGGGAGAAGAAATTTTAATAAAATGGTTTTTATGAAAACCCAGACGCCGCAGGGGTACCAACGGTCCGTGGAGTTAATGTAACCTATTGGGAACTAGGGAGATCGCCCTAGCGTGGTTGAGCTATCTGGGCCCCAAATGATGCCGCGGGGGTACCAAGGGTTAGGGACAGTAGCCAATCATTCTCTCGGCGCTGAGGGGTTTCCGAAGGGGGTTACGTTAACAGTTTAAAAAGTGGTGAATGGAAGCGATCTTGGAAAAAAAATAGGGAACGACATCGCACGGCATTGCATTTCATGGCACGACATTGTCTGTTTTGAGCTTTGTAATTGTATCGTACTCTTCCTCTATATGGCATGATCCCTTTCCCTTTATTCCTATTCATTATTTGGATTCACAGGGCCACAAGAGGAGTGTCTTAGGCACCACCTACTAAGCAATTTTGCTTACCCCTTATATTTAATATTTTTTTCAGGAAACGGGAAAGAAGTGGCGGATGACGTTCCACCACAGGCCTAATTTGGACTAAAAGACCATTTTGCTATTTTTGGATCTAAGTCCTATTTTTTTTGTAAAACCTTAGTTGTTATATTCAGTATAGAGATTTACGGACTCTTAATATTATAATTATACCTATGGGCTGTAACTTTTATATAAGTTGTTTGAATGTTGTAAAACATGGACATTTAATCTTAATCTTGTACTTTGGGACTGTAATTATAATATTTGGATGACATGGTATGTGGTTGTACCACCATAGAATGAACTTAGTTAAGGGATAATAATTGGAAGAAAGGGATACTAGAGTATATTATTTGTATTGTGTATTGGGACAGGTTGAATATATCTTAAAAGGCTAGGAAGGACCATTGCATTTTTTTTATTTGAACAGGTGGTTGTAAGCCCCTTTTTAAGGAGGTCATGCCAAATTTTTAAAAGAAAGGGTATCAGTTTAGGGGCGTTACAATAATAATCTTTATATATAATTACTTGTAATATATTGTTTAATATAATAAAATAAAAAACTATAAATAAAGGAACCTGGTTAAAAGTCGATGCTAGAATTTGATTCTATATCCTTAAGACAGATTCACCCCACTATGATGCTAATGGACTCAGTGGCGTCTATCTTCCAGAATATAACGACTTGTCTTCCTTCGGTAGTAACACTGCAAACCAAAGGAATAGGCAAACCGGCTCGGTGTAGTACTCTCTGACTCGAAGTCGGATTCGAACTCATTGACTAAGGCTCGAACCCACAGACTAGAGCTCGAACCCACAAAAAATTATAGAAGAAGAAAGAAGGAAAAAGATAATTCAGAAAGCGAAGAATGATTTTCTAAATTGGTGTGATAGCAAATGACCCCAAAAGGGGGAATTTATAGGAAGCAAAGTGCCTTTTTGGGCATGAGTGTAACCATAGGTCATGTTGGTTCAGCACCAGTTGCAACACTTTAGAAACAGATGCAACTCTTTGGAAAACATATGCAACCCTTTAGAAAAAAAAATAATAATAAATAAACTAACTTTTAATTTAAATTAAAAAACTAACCACCCATTTAACTAAGCCAAGTCCAAAAATAAAGGCCCAATCCAAAATTCCATATAGTAAAAATAATAATCGGACTTTACAATTAGGTCCAAGCCCAAACCCAAGCCCAAATCCCAAATTTGGCTTATTTAAATTTCAATTGGTTTCAACATTTTTTCTATGTGGGACAAACACTTCCCACATTTTGTATACCCATTTAGGCTTATCAAAACACCACACTTTGGAACTAATTTCTCATTCATCCGGAAACGGATTTGAGAAAGTAAATATACCATGTTCATCTCCTTGCGGAGAGAAACGCGCTCGTCTAGAGATCCGCAAAAAATTCTTAGCGGAATTTATTCCAAATCTCATTCAAAGTTTATTTTTTAATGCCCCCGTTTCCAACAATTCCTAAATTCCAAATAGGAAAAAGTGGACCATTGTTTTAAAGATGGTAAGTCCCAATAGAACTCACCTCTTTTTCTTTTAAAATAGAAACTCCACGTGGTAGGATTATACTGGCCCACTTGTCTTTAACTTCAATTACTACGTAAAATTGCATAGTTTTAATACTCCAATAATAACTTATTATAGTTGCGATCTAACGTGGCTAGTTCCATTGGAACTCACCGCATACTTCCTCCTTATTGGTGGATGGCATATAATCTATTTTTAATAATTCCACATCATATCTTCCTCTTTGGGATATTTAAAGCACCAATCCAATGTGGCAAGCTCATTGGAACTCGCCACATGCCGCCTTTCCATTGGGCCAAAAATAATGGGATAAACAGATAGTGAGAGAGAAACACACATGGTTACAATATTTTCTCTCACTAAAAACCAATCTTCAAAATCAATCCTCTTCCTTCGAATGCATTTGCAGTAATATCCTCTTCCATATATGCTTCATGTATAAGTCTCTCCCTTTTTAATGTTTCTTCAAAGAAGGAAAACAATATTGCTGCCATTTCGTGAAGTTCATCATTTTCCTACACTTTCTGGTTTAGAAAATGAAGGAAAACACAAGTACTTAAAATATTGAACTTGAGACTACTTTTCCTTATTTGAGACATAAGATTCTCATTCAATTGAGCCAAATGAAATCAAATGATTTGATTGAGTTGGTTAAATCACTTGATGAAAACCAAAACAAAGTAAGATCGAAAAATGATTGTGGACTTAAGATTACATAATTAAAGCACAATATTACAATATTTGTATGGTTGAAGAATCTGTAGGCGGTCTTGGGGGAGAAGACAAGAATGGCTTGGGTGGGATTTGCAAGGACGCTAGGCTCCCTTCTAACATTTCCATCACCTTATTTATAGAAGGCCGATTTGATGGGTCAGTTTGTATGCACCATAAGCCCACTATTATCATCTTCTTGGCTCTTTCATTTTCCTTTTCATTCATAATTCCATGAAGTCCCAAATCCTCATCCAGTTCCACATGATTGTATATCCAATGTGGAAAATATATTTCACTGGTATGATCAACTTCAACATCAATATTTTTTCTTCCTCCAACCATCTCTAAAACCATCATTCCATAACTATAGACATCTGACTTGTGAGATATCCTTCCGAAGCTTCTAGAAAATACTTCTGGAGCAATATACCCAACTGTCCCTCTTGCGCCCAACATGGATATGATACTGTCTTTATTTGGGCATAGTTTAGAAAGACCGAAATCAGCGATCTTTGGGCAGAAGTCTTCATCTAGAAGAATGTTATGAGGCTTAATGTCAAAGTGCAAAATTCTTGTATTGCAACCCCGATGTAAGTACTCTAATCCTCGAGCAATGCCAAATGCAATTTCATACATTGTTTCCCACCCTAGTTGACGTTTTATTGAGGAACTTTTATCATATATGAACTTCTCAAGAGATCCATTAGGCATGAACTCATAGATGAGAACTCTTTTGGTGCCCTCAAAACAAAAACCTAGAAGGGTGACAACATTAACATGGGAAGTCCTACTAATGCTTACTACCTCATTAGTAAATTCTTCCCCGTTACCTTTTGAATCAATCAAAACCTTCACGGCTACCAAACGACCAGTTTTTAGCTTTCCCTTGTATACACCTCCATATCCTCCTTGACCTAGTTTGTAGGTGAAAGAATTGGTCATTTTCTTAACATCTGAATAACTATATCTTTTTGGGGCAAGGGACCTGTAGTTCTTCAGAAAGAGCTCAATCTGTTGATTGTTCTCTATTTCCTTTTTCCAAAAGATCATTGATATAACTAGTGAGCATTTTCTCCTGAAGCAACAGAGTATGATTACTAGTACTAGAAGGACAGCCGCTGAAATGCCTGTGATCAATAAAAATAGGTGAAGCCAACTAGTGCTGGAATCTTATATATAAAGAGAGACAGTTGTATTGAGTATGTTTTTAATCGAAAGAATTAAAAAAAAAAAAAAAAAAATAGGTTTGCTGATTTTAGTTTAGTAAATGGATTAACTAATGAAACTTTCTTCACCAAGTTATATAAATAATAGGTAATCTATTAAAAATATCAATTAATTATGGAGGTATATTACCTGTTCCTAGTGTTATTATCAATCTGGACTTTCTTTTTCCAGCAATCAATTTCATACATTAAAGTGGGGAAAAAAATCAATAAATATGAAGAATAAATAAAGAATAGAAGGAAGAATAATGATTGACTGTCAAATAGATGGCACTTGATTGCATTACAATATATTTTCTCTGCTAAGAAGATGTGACTCTTTCATCTGCCTGAAAGGAACTCATTGCAACTACGAACCAAATGAAAGGAAATTTGATCTCTGTAATTTAAGTATGATAGAGAAGGAACCAATTGAAGATTTTGAATTGGTTTGTGTGAATTGATTCAGAAATATTAGGAAACACGTGTAGAAATGGGAATACCTTCTTTGTTGCCATTCTTAATGGGAGTAATTTCTTTCGGCATCCCACATTCAAACCCACTGCTGACATATAGACATTGGCCTCCTTTCTTACGACAGTCTAGACAACGAGAGGACGCAAACATCGTAAGAGAGATATTAGAAGCCAACAGTTGAAATGGGTTGTAAAATTTTTTATTTTCTGGTTGGCCATGGAACTGGTAGCTGAATAGGGGAACAGTGATGTAAAAGGTCCTCAGGAATTTATTTTTTATTTTTTTGGTAAAGAAAGGCCCTCGGGAATTGATTCATCATAATCTGGAGATGATCTATAGTAGATAGAGTAGCCTGAGCAGTCGAATTTCTTGAAAATGTTGTAATCAACATCCAATAATGGAGGATTGCGGCAGCCCATGATATGCAGGCACATTAGAGAAGGCATTTGGAATTTGTGAATGGGTCAATTTCATTCAGTTTTATGCACTAGGCCCGCTACTATAATGGTTGAAAATTCTCATACTACACTGGTGACCAATTGTGAGCATGAGGTTGGAGTACAAGAAGATGATGCTGTACAACATATGCAGTAAAAGATGTTTTCAAAGTCATTCAATTACAACTTTTTGACAATTACACGGGAGTTCATCTTTCCAAGGAATTTGTCGCTTGTGCCTTTAACATCATACCATTGTTGGCTTCCTAGTTGGACCTTTGGAACTGGATGATCACAATACCGCAATTGCGATGAGGTATTTGTGAAAGGGAAGCTGATGGGACTGAGATTTCCGCAGAGGAAGTGTTGGGATTTATATGCCCTGGCATAGTAAATTCCTGTTTGGATTAAAGTGACATATGTTCATGACGTTTATGAAATATTTATGTTTTATACAATTGGTGAATTCAATGTATTATATTTCAATTCATTATAGAATTGATAGTGTCCATTTGATTACAAGAGATATTGATATATATGTTTGTGATGGCAATCAATGCATGATATATAAATAATAATCATAAATGGTTCATAGTCGGTAATTATGGATGGACTCATAATTAATTAAGATTTGAACTGGATCCGCGTTAGGTTGAGATATATTGCGAGAGTCGTCGTATGCAATTGCTCCCTATCACCGTCATGGCATTTAACTCTTAAGTATGAGAAAATTATAGACTCTTTTATTAATTAATAATTACTTTGATTTGTTCGGCGGATTCTTCGGGATCCTTAGACCGACACTTTGGGTAGTTATGTAATTAATAGTTAGAGGGTTATATTTTCAATATTTGCATCATTGCTACTTGTATTTATTTTGTATTGATTATGGTTGATCACAAAGTAAATTCGAAGGCTTTCGTGTGTTTTTAGACAAAATGATTTATTATATATTTATTTATTTAAATTATTATTTTTGTCAAACAAATGTTTTATTGTGATCGAGCCAGAAATAATCAGAGGTACCAAAATAGATATATTAATTAAGTAGTCGGATTGATGGCTTTATTTATCCGATAACTAATTATGCATAGAGGGGTCAAAGTGCAATATTGACTTAGAGGTTATTTATTATTTAATTGGAGTTCAATTAATTTCTTTTAGTGGAGTAGAAATTAATTTATGAATTAATTGAATTGGGTCCATGGACCGGGCCAATTATTAATTCATTGTAGCCAATAAAATAATAGGCCCAATGGATTCTCACTCATAGCCCAACTTGATATTGGAATCATATTAGATTTGAGACATATGAATTAGAGATGGAGAAGGATTTGTTGTTTCCTTTTCTTTATTTTTATGTTGCCTATAAATATACATGGTTTATGTATATTTTAGGGGGTAATTTTTAGTAGAAGGAAAAAAGAATATATTTTCTCTCTCTAGAAAATTAGGGTTTATGTTCTCATCTAATGGAGGCTCCCACAAGCCTAGTTTTCCAAGGTCATTCATGGAGGCTTATGAGTGATTCCTAAAGGCAAGACCATTAACAAGAAGATGGAGATCCATGGAAAAGGTGTCTAGCAAAAGGAATCTACAATAAGTGAGAACATTCACTTTATAGGAGAGATCTAAGGTTTACTCAAACCTTGATGTAAGTATTCAATCTTTTAATTAAATGATACATTATATTTTATTTTTGCATAAAACTTGTCTCTATGTGATGAATCAAGATTTATGAATCAAAATCCCTCGAAAAGTTTTTAAAACTTGCACGTTTCCCAACAGTGGTATCAGAGCATGGTTAGATTCATTACTAGAGATCATGATTTTATGAAAATCATCATTCATGGATCCAAAATTATATTCATATATATTTTTATTGATGTATATTGATGTATGATTTAATATATTGATATATATTGATACATGATGATGTATGAATAATTGTGAATGAATGATAATGTATGGTTGGGCCATGGATGAAGCTTATAGGTTAAATTAATGTAATTTTATCTTTGGATGAATGTAATTAAGGCTTTGATTTAGCCGTTTGAAAGTTCAATGATATAATTTATTTTTCTCATTGTATTTCAAGTTGTAAATATTTTTAAAGCCATGTAATATTCATCAAAGGATGCTATGAAGCTTCAAGAAGGTCCAAAAGGGTTAAATTATGCTTCAGTAATTTTCTGGAATTTTTTCGAATTTTTTGGAATTTTTCTGAAATTTTTTGAGGCTTAATTTAATTTTCTGGGAATTTTTCTGATTTTTCTGGAATTTTTCGGCGTTTTTCCGGTGACCAGAGCATCGCCGGCGGCGAGAAGAGGCGTCGGAGGAGACTGGAATCAGATATGGTGCATAGAGGGTGAGCCTGGCGCGTGAGGAACACGCGCCAGGAGGTGACATATGCTGGCGCGTGCATTGCACGTGCCAGCCAAGGTTGTATGACCTCCACGAGCGTGCAGGCGCGTGGAGGTGCGTCCCACGCGCCCCACGCGCTTGCCAGCGCTTGAGGGCGCGTCCCACGAGCCCCAGGCGAGTGCCAGCGCGTGGGGGCGCGTGCCTTCACCTGCAGCATGCCCCAGGCGCGTGTGAGCACGTGTGGGGCCCTCCAGGCGCGTTCCAAGCGGTGTTTTGCTTCTCTCGGTGTGTACCAGCCTTATGTGGGTGTTTGCAAGCCGATGGATGATCCTCGCGCAATACTTAGAGTAGTTAAATGTTAAAAGCTGATTCCATTGGCCATTTTATTTGCTTTATCTGTTATTTATTTATTTATGCGATGTATGAAATGTATGGAATATATAATTGTTAATTAATTATTATTCATGCATTGGATCCATGATATTTATTTAAATGGCTTGATTTATATTAATTAAGTTATGAAAATTAATTGGATCTGATTACTAATTAATTTGAGGGCACTTATTGGGAAACGAAAAATTATTTTTATAAATTATTTTTAAAGTGTATCTCAAATTAAATATTAGTGAATTGTTTAAAGTCCAAATATTTTCTAAATTTAATTGGATTAAAATCAAGACGTTTTGCATGCATCATATCATGTATTTGAATAAATTGAAAACCCTAATTATGAATGATTAAAAATTGAGTGGGAGCGGGAATTTTTATACATTGCCCCATGGCCTTCGTTATTAACACCATTGTAATTAGATCTTCAAAAATAAGGCCCCACGCATGATTTGAAGAGTCTTAATATTACAAGAATGGTTGTCTCATGAAAATTAAAATATTAAATATTCATTGTAATTAGATCTTTAAAAATAAGGCCCTACGCATGATTTAAAGAGTCTAGATTATAATGACAAGATATTTAATGTTTTATTTTTCATTAGAGCTTTAATAACGTTATACACTCAATCTAAAATCAATAATGTTAGCTCCCCAACGAAGTGGTCTACACTAGGTGATTTTAGAAAGGTTAAACATAATCGGGAATTATTTCATATAAATAGACAAGACATTGTCTTAAGAAATATGGAGATGATGGGATTTGCCCGCCAATAACAATAATGAACTTCGCCAACCGAATAAGTTATTGGTGTATTGGTTATCCGATTTTTCATGCAGTGGTTAAAGGACCCACATATTATTTTAATGGAAGTTCTCACCTAATAGCAAATGAATCTCTACAATAGTAATAATGAACTCCTCCAACAGGATAAGTTATTGACATATTGATTGGTTGATTTATTATGCTACAGAGTTGAGGGACCCACATTAATTAAAAGGGATTGTTCACCAATAATGATAATGATCTCTTGTTTGATTGAGATTTATTATATTATGTGGTAAACAAATTCATTTTAATTTTAAATATGCATGACAGTATTAATAATTCACCTTGCATATTGTATGAATGCATTTATATTCAAACTAATTATGTCTAATCCATTTTATCTGCTTGCTAATTTCAATGTATGTGGACTTCATTTATAATGACTAGAAAAGGAATTTAGATATTTTATTCACAACGTGGTGGTACAA